TCAGCAATAACCTCTCTGCTCCATTCTCTCTCTAGTATTGTGATTCTCAACCAGGACTCTATAGCACCTGGGGGAGCCATGGTATCCTTTTAAGGGTACCATGCAATTCAGGAACTGCACGTACACCTGACCTGCACACGATTCACAAGATAAGCTAAGACATTTCAAGAAAGAATCCATAGCGTCTAAAACATTCTGACCTGTTGTGTTCCTTCTGTGGACCCTGGCATATGTTCACTTCATGTTGTGATGGGATCTGTCTCCTGATCCCAACAATCAGGCTTCCTGTTGTGCCACACATGCATTGCAGGATGTGCAACTTTGGGACCAGGGAAGAGATCCCAATCACACCATTACTGCTCTTCAGTGCAGGAGGAACACAGGATCATTATCCTGGACCAAGTACCTGGTAAATTGGTGTGACCCATGGGCTGGGACCAACTATCAGCTGACTGTCTTAGCTCAGGACCACATCAGGGCTGGCTGGAAACTGTCTGTCTCAGCCTTGGGGCTGCACCAAAGCAAGTTCAAGGCTCTGACTAAGTCCTGAGCCTGGGACCAACAACCAGCTGATTGTGGGTTTGAGCCCTGGGATTGTACTGGGGCTGGTCTCAGAGCTCCTCCATGCAGCTGGCATCAGGCTGCAGGGTGGGGACCCTGCCATACATTCAATTTAAAGCATGATGCCACATATTTTGTGGCATAATTTTGTGACTTATTTTCCATTTATTGTGCCATTAACTGCCTAAATATGTGGTTGGGTTACTACTTAAGATACAATTGGTTAATCACATCTTAAGTGTAACATCTGTCAGGGGCCTGGGTTTTCTGCAACAGAAGAACTGGTCTATTATTTCTCCATAGTCAAAAGTCAGTGAAAGCTAAGAGCTGGCATTTTATGAGAAGTGGCTTGAGTCTACTGAGGGGTGTCTTGAATCTAAAAAGGTTGAAAAGCACTGCTCTAGAAAATAGATTCAGATTTGAATGACAACTCTTACTTTCCATTTGAAGAAATGCCAAATCCCCTACGCATTCAAAGTTAGCTAAAGGAAGCTTTTGATGCCAAATGTTGCAGTAGTTCTGTGTCAAGAAACTGCCTTGATTACAAGAGTCAGGCAGGGTGCAATAGGTCAGAGTGGATTTTTGCCAGCAATCACAGTTTTTCTAGCTAACCAGCTCATTTCCTCCTGTAAAGCCTGCCCAAAGAACAGAAACTAAATCAGTTGTTATTGCATGAATTTCTGTGTTATAATTTTCCACAGAGAGACCAGAGACTGTATTTGCAAAATGCAGATTTTTTTTTTTAACTATGAACATATACATTTAGACACATCAGCAACTCATTATGGCTATATTAAGTATATGCAGAATAAATGGAACAGTAATTTAATCTTTACCAAGTTACACTTATATAGACAGACCTTAAAACCTTTTGATGCTGCAATATGGGCAGCAGTCCAGCCATCTTTGTCAGCATGGTTGATGAGATCTGCAGAAACAACAGGCTTTGCTTTACTGCTGTAGCTGTCTTGATTGCACTCCAAGTCAAAGTAGTCTGAATTAGGCTCTGCATCATTCATAAAGTTTCCATTCTCTGGCTCTCCATAGTACATAAGGAGCTTGAGACTGTCAACATTACCAGAATCTACAGCTACATGAATTGGTGTCCACCCATCCTGAACATACAAAAATAAAAACCACAGTCGTATCACACACACAGAAAAGTGGTTATAGAATTTGTATTAGTAATTGCTTTTATTGGACCTGTTCACTATAAATCTTTTAAATACACCAGGATTAGCTACAAATAATGTCCCAGCTTTGAGAAAGACAGTCCATATGCTGGGCTCAGTGCATAATTGTGTGAGATACTTGATAATAAAGAGGAAAGGTAGGTGATCCCTTCTTGGGAAAATACATTTGTTTAATTATATCATATGGCGCGTAAGGATCCACTAAGAACATAACTCAGTGGAGAGTAAACAGAAGCCACGAAAATCTCTGCAAAAATGTTTTGCATTATGATGTAAATTTGCAGTAAATTATGATGAAAAACTCCATTATTTACAAAGTTAATATACAAATCTGTTACTGGACCCTTGTCA